ACCGTAGCTCACATTGGGTGACTGTACTGCAGTGGCTACTCTACTGAGTACCAACGTATACCTTGAGATTTGAAGTAAAAGGGCTCCGGGGTCATATTAAGCCACGACCTGAGGACGACTAAAAGTCTAATACGCTTGCAGCTGAGGCTTTGCTGAGGTGTAGTCGCCTAGTAAGACATTCAACACTGGTGAAAATGTTTGGGATTTTATACCCCACCTATATAAAGTCCCACTTAGAGTTCTGAATCCGGACAACCATCATACGCTTTGTGGGGGAATCTGACACGTTAGAAGAGGCCCAAACGGTAGGCACTAAGTCAGTGACAGATCTTGTCCATCTCCTCCTTGAAGAGTTATTGGAAAAGCCAAACTTTTTTATTGTCTTAGCGTAGGTGAAAAGGAGGTTTAATTTCGGCATCTTGCATTTTAAAGAATGGCCCAGGTATTCAGCCACGAAACCTCCTTGCTCCCTCCCTACCTGTTAGCCCTAGGGACGGCCATAAAAGAATATCACAGTTGCAGTCGACTCATCTTCGAGTAGAGTTCACGTCACCACACAGAGTGGTCAACAACTTTAACTTACTGCCTGAACAAGTGCTGGTAGCTCCTTCGATCCATGAATCCAAGAAGAAACGAGGTTCCCACAGAGAAAACCAGTCCAATGATTAACACCAACTGCTTAGCCCACTGTCCTTACAACTGAAGATTGGTTAACCATTCGGAGGATGAAGCAGTGAAACTCCTTATTGAATGCCTTATGTTGAAATTTTGTAGTCAGATTGAGGCTTAAATCACGAGAAATCTTACACCATACCTAGATCACGATTTTTTCAGTTCTGAAAACTGTCATTTATTTAGATGCACTATTAACAGTCACTTTTGCAAGGTTAGTTGTATTACGCGGGTTTTATGGACCGAGTGGTAATATTTAGCATATTTTTCTTGTCGGGTTTTTGTGTAACATGTACCAACAATCTACCATGTGCTGCAAATTACTGGCCAAAATTTTAGGAAACGCTTTTGGATCTTTTCTCACTATCTGTCTTGGATGACTACACCAAAAGCAGTTCAAAAATCATCAGAAAACTGACTGAAGGAATTATTCACTGGTCTTTAGATGTGATACTTACATATATTTATGCATATGCATACGTTTGTTTATACATATCGTATTCATGTATGCGTCTAGACCTGTAAAAAAGCTCACTGGTTATGTCTGTATTTCGAAAGAGTCATTCTTTTACAAGGCCATCAATATGACTGAACTAAGGGAAAAACCTCACTATGATCCCTTAGAGATCCTTAATCTGTGTCTTGTAATTCGTAGACTGATTAGGAGGAGTATGGTAATGATGTTTCGTATTGTCCACACTCCTTGACATGCAAACGGAGCACTCAGTTTAAAATCAGAAGCAACACTTGATGGGTCGCCCTCCAAGAGTAGAACACTAAAAAGCAAGAAATAAGATCCGTGTTAAATCTTGCAACCGAAGTAAGTAAGTCGTAAGTTCCCTACCTGAGGAAGTAACGAGTCCTTGGCAGGATACTTTTAGAAAGAGGGCAGATATCTATTCATAATGTGGTACAGAAAGTGTGTATTTTAAAGGCTTCTTCTTTTATTCTAGACCACCGGTATCACAAGATATAAAAGGATAGATATCTCAACTAACCTCTTTTATTTCCTGTCTCAGGACTAAGAAAAGCACTATATTTTCCACATGAAAAACGTCTCTGAGTGCTACAGGCATAAAACCTAAGAGATTTCCAATTCCTGAATTCTGTTAAACAAAGTTTGAAGTGTTAATTCCCAGGATCTCCCTAGTAGTGATTACAGCAAACTAATAGAATAGGGGGCTTTCCATTTGTGGTGGAGGGGGGGCATTTGTGTGGCAGGAAACAGGGAGCTAACAAGCGAATTTATTAGAGATTTGACCGCCTGTTAGCCCTCTATTTCGCCCGTTTCCGACTTTTGTATACCCACAAGTTACTTAGAGTCGGACGCACTATGTGGTCAGTTCTTCATCCAGTTCCAAAACATCCGGTGCAAGCTTATGTCATCGTCCAGTAATTTCTGTTTGGTATTTGAACCCTCTGAAATACAAAGAGTTGTTTAGAGTTTTAGGACTCATCAGTTCTTATTTTTGTTGCCGTTTACCCCCACATGCCATGGAGGTTGTGGAACTAACACCCAACAACAGCGAATATTTTCCTGTTGATGTTATCTGTCGCTATTCCGGATGTTTTCTTACAATTCAGCTATGTGATGAACTATACGGACATACCTTTGTTCGTTTCATGCGAGACAGAATAGGATGTGTCATTTATCGTAGTCTCACCTATCTGAAACAGTTTGTTGGCTAGATTAAAGCCTACGAGTGATTCCAATCCCGTTTTGCAGCCATCTTTTATGCTTTCTACAAATGCATTTTACACGTGAGAATACTGAAAAAATAACGGCAATTTAATTTCATTGACTACAAGCTTTCAAAATTGCTCATTTGGTGCATCCAAGCTGTGGTGTTTATACTCTTCCAAACTTTCTACTGGGAATGCCACTCTCTTCACACTGGAATTTGTCAAATTAAAATCTTCCTTTCTTTCGTTCAATGTCACGGGGACTTACACAAGAAGTAAGGGATCTCTTTTTGTAAGCCTACCAGAAGCGTATTAATTTATGAGGTTCTTGTTAGTGACAACAGAAATAACCTGATATCATTTGTTTGTCATTGCGAGAATTCCTCTAATTTAGAGTTATTTCAAGTGTCTGCTTCAGTGTTATCCCTAGTGAAGAATTTGACAGGTTGGTTGGAGAGCTGCTTAAGGGTTATAGACTAATACAAACAACTTATGTTACCGGTATGATACACAATGGCTGATTAGGCTCTCTGGGGAAGAATTCAGTAGTGAAATCACGATCAATTTTTACCCTCAGAAACAATGAAGATGAAAAATGAAATGCACTCAGTACCCCTGTGCACATTCATGCAGCAAGTAATAAACCACACCTATTGTGTGAGGGCTGATTATGCTACCTGGCTGCCCAGACCTCGTTAGGTGAGGTGGCGTTCGAATCCATGACCCATTGGCTGAGAGTCAACTACCTGAACCAATGAGCCACAGCTCCTGAGAAAAGCGATTGCCATAATCAGGTTGTGAAAAACTAGTAAAGCGTTTGAGATCTTGAGGTTGTAGGGGATATTACAAATACTTAATTCGAGTTTCTGTTAGTTTGACCAGAGATCACTACTCTAGTAATTGTTCGGGACTTACCAGTTTGTTTTGTAAGCCTACGCGTTTAACTTCTAACCTTAACCCCAGTTAGTCACCAGTCTTACGAAGCTTCTAATAACATTCCACGTCCTCGCAAGAAGTATCACTTTTAAAATAAGTGATCTCCTTATCAACATACAAGGACTCACTTCCTTGGCATATTTCTTTGCTTTGCACAACAATTATGTCCAAATCTTGTTTTCGAACATCAGGAAATTTGGATTCTGAAAGTTTAAAAAACAGTACACAATGGTTCAATGTGTACACACAACTAGGCGTTAGAAAGCGAAACAGTTATGCTCATAAGTTATATTTGAAGAGTTTTTTGCTGTGTATATTGGTTTATCAATATTCTTATAGAGTCAAATGTAGCAGGATGAATATGGGTGTAGCTTTAGGTCACTATGGGTTGTCAGGTCTTGGAATTCTCTCTCCGCAGAGGCCGTTCGAGTTACCTCGTCAAGTTGACTCAGAGAACCTTGACGCCTGTCCCAGGTCTCAGCAGAAGCTTCTAGAACAAGTATCTGCTAGCTCCATTTTAACTGTCTCCCACCCACATGGGTTTTCGGACATAGAAACCGGCGGTTTACTACCTCCAGACGTGGAAACCCCCAACTACGGCTGCTCCTAAAGGGGCTATTCAGACGGTCGCCACCATTCCTTTCTTATGTTAATGAATTACTAACGATGCTTAGACAGCCGTTGTTGGTTTTCTGTGGTGAAATCAGTATCTGAAGGGTTCTTCGTGATGAAAACTATAGGACTGCACCCCAGTCCGAGGTCAGTTGACTTGGTGAATAGTCCAAATGATGGAAGCAGGCATTCGATTCGCACAAAAGTACCGTAGCTCACATTGGGTGACTGTACTGCAGTGGCTACTCTACTGAGTACCAACGTATACCTTGAGATTTGAAGTAAAAGGGCTCCGGGGTCATATTAAGCCACGACCTGAGGACGACTAAAAGTCTAATACACTTGCAGCTGAGGCTTTGCTGAGGTGTAGTCGCCTAGTAAGACATTCAACACTGGTGAAAATGTTTGGGATTTTATACCCCACCTATATAAAGTCCCACTTAGAGTTCTGAATCCGGACAACCATCATACGCTTTGTGGGGGAATCTGACACGTTAGAAGAGGCCCAAACGGTAGGCACTAAGTCAGTGACAGATCTTGTCCATCTCCTCCTTGAAGAGTTATTGGAAAAGCCAAACTTTTTTATTGTCTTAGCGTAGGTGAAAAGGAGGTTTAATTTCGGCATCTTGCATTTTAAAGAATGGCCCAGGTATTCAGCCACGAAACCTCCTTGCTCCCTCCCTACCTGTTAGCCCTAGGGACGGCCATAAAAGAATATCACAGTTGCAGTCGACTCATCTTCGAGTAGAGTTCACGTCACCACACAGAGTGGTCAACAACTTTAACTTACTGCCTGAACAAGTGCTGGTAGCTCCTTCGATCCATGAATCCAAGAAGAAACGAGGTTCCCACAGAGAAAACCAGTCCAATGATTAACACCAACTGCTTAGCCCACTGTCCTTACAACTGAAGATTGGTTAACCATTCGGAGGATGAAGCAGTGAAACTCCTTATTGAATGCCTTATGTTGAAATTTTGTAGTCAGATTGAGGCTTAAATCACGAGAAATCTTACACCATACCTAGATCACGATTTTTTCAGTTCTGAAAACTGTCATTTATTTAGATGCACTATTAACAGTCACTTTTGCAAGGTTAGTTGTATTACGCGGGTTTTATGGACCGAGTGGTAATATTTAGCATATTTTTCTTGTCGGGTTTTTGTGTAACATGTACCAACAATCTACCATGTGCTGCAAATTACTGGCCAAAATTTTAGGAAACGCTTTTGGATCTTTTCTCACTATCTGTCTTGGATGACTACACCAAAAGCAGTTCAAAAATCATCAGAAAACTGACTGAAGGAATTATTCACTGGTCTTTAGATGTGATACTTACATATATTTATGCATATGCATACGTTTGTTTATACATATCGTATTCATGTATGCGTCTAGACCTGTAAAAAAGCTCACTGGTTATGTCTGTATTTCGAAAGAGTCATTCTTTTACAAGGCCATCAATATGACTGAACTAAGGGAAAAACCTCACTATGATCCCTTAGAGATCCTTAATCTGTGTCTTGTAATTCGTAGACTGATTAGGAGGAGTATGGTAATGATGTTTCGTATTGTCCACACTCCTTGACATGCAAACGGAGCACTCAGTTTAAAATCAGAAGCAACACTTGATGGGTCGCCCTCCAAGAGTAGAACACTAAAAAGCAAGAAATAAGATCCGTGTTAAATCTTGCAACCGAAGTAAGTAAGTCGTAAGTTCCCTACCTGAGGAAGTAACGAGTCCTTGGCAGGATACTTTTAGAAAGAGGGCAGATATCTATTCATAATGTGGTACAGAAAGTGTGTATTTTAAAGGCTTCTTCTTTTATTCTAGACCACCGGTATCACAAGATATAAAAGGATAGATATCTCAACTAACCTCTTTTATTTCCTGTCTCAGGACTAAGAAAAGCACTATATTTTCCACATGAAAAACGTCTCTGAGTGCTACAGGCATAAAACCTAAGAGATTTCCAATTCCTGAATTCTGTTAAACAAAGTTTGAAGTGTTAATTCCCAGGATCTCCCTAGTAGTGATTACAGCAAACTAATAGAATAGGGGGCTTTCCATTTGTGGTGGAGGGGGGGCATTTGTGTGGCAGGAAACAGGGAGCTAACAAGCGAATTTATTAGAGATTTGACCGCCTGTTAGCCCTCTATTTCGCCCGTTTCCGACTTTTGTATACCCACAAGTTACTTAGAGTCGGACGCACTATGTGGTCAGTTCTTCATCCAGTTCCAAAACATCCGGTGCAAGCTTATGTCATCGTCCAGTAATTTCTGTTTGGTATTTGAACCCTCTGAAATACAAAGAGTTGTTTAGAGTTTTAGGACTCATCAGTTCTTATTTTTGTTGCCGTTTACCCCCACATGCCATGGAGGTTGTGGAACTAACACCCAACAACAGCGAATATTTTCCTGTTGATGTTATCTGTCGCTATTCCGGATGTTTTCTTACAATTCAGCTATGTGATGAACTATACGGACATACCTTTGTTCGTTTCATGCGAGACAGAATAGGATGTGTCATTTATCGTAGTCTCACCTATCTGAAACAGTTTGTTGGCTAGATTAAAGCCTACGAGTGATTCCAATCCCGTTTTGCAGCCATCTTTTATGCTTTCTACAAATGCATTTTACACGTGAGAATACTGAAAAAATAACGGCAATTTAATTTCATTGACTACAAGCTTTCAAAATTGCTCATTTGGTGCATCCAAGCTGTGGTGTTTATACTCTTCCAAACTTTCTACTGGGAATGCCACTCTCTTCACACTGGAATTTGTCAAATTAAAATCTTCCTTTCTTTCGTTCAATGTCACGGGGACTTACACAAGAAGTAAGGGATCTCTTTTTGTAAGCCTACCAGAAGCGTATTAATTTATGAGGTTCTTGTTAGTGACAACAGAAATAACCTGATATCATTTGTTTGTCATTGCGAGAATTCCTCTAATTTAGAGTTATTTCAAGTGTCTGCTTCAGTGTTATCCCTAGTGAAGAATTTGACAGGTTGGTTGGAGAGCTGCTTAAGGGTTATAGACTAATACAAACAACTTATGTTACCGGTATGATACACAATGGCTGATTAGGCTCTCTGGGGAAGAATTCAGTAGTGAAATCACGATCAATTTTTACCCTCAGAAACAATGAAGATGAAAAATGAAATGCACTCAGTACCCCTGTGCACATTCATGCAGCAAGTAATAAACCACACCTATTGTGTGAGGGCTGATTATGCTACCTGGCTGCCCAGACCTCGTTAGGTGAGGTGGCGTTCGAATCCATGACCCATTGGCTGAGAGTCAACTACCTGAACCAATGAGCCACAGCTCCTGAGAAAAGCGATTGCCATAATCAGGTTGTGAAAAACTAGTAAAGCGTTTGAGATCTTGAGGTTGTAGGGGATATTACAAATACTTAATTCGAGTTTCTGTTAGTTTGACCAGAGATCACTACTCTAGTAATTGTTCGGGACTTACCAGTTTGTTTTGTAAGCCTACGCGTTTAACTTCTAACCTTAACCCCAGTTAGTCACCAGTCTTACGAAGCTTCTAATAACATTCCACGTCCTCGCAAGAAGTATCACTTTTAAAATAAGTGATCTCCTTATCAACATACAAGGACTCACTTCCTTGGCATATTTCTTTGCTTTGCACAACAATTATGTCCAAATCTTGTTTTCGAACATCAGGAAATTTGGATTCTGAAAGTTTAAAAAACAGTACACAATGGTTCAATGTGTACACACAACTAGGCGTTAGAAAGCGAAACAGTTATGCTCATAAGTTATATTTGAAGAGTTTTTTGCTGTGTATAGTGGTTTATCAATATTCTTATAGACTTCTGCCTTTTCGACATGGTGGAGACCGTCATTCATGAAGTGAAGTCACCTTGAAACACCGGATTTTGGTGGCTTGGACATGTGTCATAAATACTGCTTTAGTGGCTCTCATACTGCTCACTGTTTGTTTACACTAGGTGTGGTTGGAAAAGGCTGAGAAACGGTCAACGTATAACATGGCGTCCTTTCAGCACTCACATGGAACCTGGATTTCCCACATAGTGGTTAAAGTTGCCATACCTCATATCAGCATGTCAAGGTAGTACGCACCGAAATGAAACCCAGATCAAGAAATAAACTAGTCAGTGGTAGGAGGTTGTAAAAATAAAATCTAAAGGAATAAAAGAATCATGATAAAGCTCGGGATGATGATTAAAATGAGGGTAATATCTGGCTGCGTCCGCGCCGTTGCCGTCAATTCTGAGTTATCACCTAGGGTCTCCAACCACTGGTTTGTGTTATCACACAGACCCCAACTGAGAAGTTCACATTTCCCTATACGGTTCAGACCAACAGTCAAAGACTACATGGACTGGTGCCACGTTCCAGTTTGATCACCCTTAGCATTTTGTCAGTTTTAAGCCACTTTAGCTAGAAGTGTGCAACAGAGCAGATGGTGACTAGGCATGCATAACACAACTGAGTCGATAAAGGTTCACAACCTCACCAACTGACTTTCCTCTTCTACCTAAAACTCTACACCTGATTTCTACGTGAATGACGTGATTGGAGCACAACACGACGTATGCCACGGAGAAGACAATGATGGAATACCTGTAGGCTTCTCATGAAGAACGAGAGCAACTCAAATGTCGAGAAAAAAAGAAATTTACTCAGTAACCTTGTGCACATTCTTGCAGTAGGCAGTGAGTTACATCTGTTGTATGAGAGCTAACGATATTACCTGGTTGCTCGAACCCTGATGGGTGGAAGTGCTAGGACGTGCGAGCCGTTTGGTTAAAAATCGACTGTCTGAACCAATGAGCCATATCCCCGAATCACTTACTTATTGGGATATATCGTTCCATTTTCGCTAAATTTTTGTGCTACATTATCATGTGCTATTTTTGGTGCCAATTTTTTCTAGCCCCACTTCTTTTTGGGGATGGAGCATGAATGTAAAACTTCTGTCCATGGAAGTGAAACACCTTATTTTTGTCAAACTCCACTCACTTGGTAGCAATACGACTTCTACCTCGGCTGTGCATCATGTAGCAATTTTGCACTGTATGGGTAACTTCTTTTGCTCTGCTACTATCCAACAGACTATTCTTTTATGGTAGGACTTCGAGGGAACAAGCGTTAAAGTCCGTATAGCTCTTTGGGTCACTGCAAGCCTGGCCACCAGCTCAAAAGACCAGGTACCAGCTGGGTGTATTATGCACTCTGTCCTATTCAATAAACGTTTTGTGGACTTTGGGTATTCAGCTTCCACGAGCTACGTTTTCCATTGGATAATGCTGTCTTGTGAAGTGTGGCAAATCAGACTGATACACAACTATTGGATTGAATGTCTTTTTGGCAGGTAGTATATTTCTAGTCCCCCGAGATTAGCAGCATACTACTGCCACCTCTTTTTAGGTAGCAGCACACTTTGCCTTCTGATTCAAACTTCGAAGGTAACTGGTTTAAATCCTAACAGTCCGACTTATCTTGACATTGTTGGACCGCAACAGATAACCGTTTCGTTTATTTCAATAGATGAACTAAAGTGCCACGTTGGGGTATCAACCATTGTTTCGGATCCTGTCATAGTTTTTTGTCTGTTGCATATGAGGTATTATCGTAACTAAAAAGTATCTTGTGGATTCAAGGTTATTTAGAGAGATATTTATCTGAGTAACTGTTGTTAACGTTGTACAAAACAGGATACCAGAAGCGGAAAAATGAAGACAGCCATTGTGATAAGACTTCATGGTAGTGTGACTTTTACACGGGACTTTCAGCATTTTAGTACTTATAGGTCCTAGAATTCTTCTATTTTTTTAGGACGAGAAGATGATAATTGAGCCTGTCAGTGGTGCATTCCATTGTTCAAAAACATTTTTCTCTGTGGTAAAATTTTTTCATTATTCGTATTTGCCAAGGTCTAGAGCGAACTACTTTCCTCATAGAGATTCATTATAGTAATGGTGCACCAATTACCAAGCAACATTAGCAGCTCTCCACTGTTAGTTCTTCCCTGCGCTAGCTCTTAAGTTATCCTCACCTGGTTTTCTTTCCTATCGAAGTACTTCAAGATGCCATCTCTTTCAGTATGAACAACCAAAAATGGCTTGTAATCATACTCTCACATGACCATCCTCAACTGTTTTATGTACCCTGACGTACTCTGGACATTCCATTTGTCTCTTCAATGATCCTACTAATTTCTTTTTCCATATTGGATTAGTCTGTTTGATATATAACATACTGATATAATACTATTTACTAAATGACTTCGTTTCGAAAAGAATTTATTGCTGATGATCATATCAAGATAATCACATAACTTTCTGGTCTAGTTTCTATAGTTCCATCGTTTAGTCTAGTTGGTAGCAAAACTTTCCACACATCCAGAACTGGTGCCTTGTCATTTCGGCTACAATACTAGAAGAAATCGAAAAAGCGGCAGGTCACTTGAAACGAGGAATGGCAACAGTTTCAGATGAACTAGTTCCTGAGGTATATAAGGACGGTGGTATAGTGATTTTAGTCAAGTTAACTAAAGTATTAAGTAGCGTATAGGAGTCAAATATGGTCCCCTCTGACTGGTCTGAATCACTGATTATCCCAGTCTTCAAAAAGGTGAGAAGTCCTCCTGTGATAACCGCAGAGGAATCAGCCTGATAAACATAGTGGCTAAGATTCTAGGTCCTAAAATCATTAGACACCTAAGCGGAGCTCGGAAACAGAAAGCCCGAGAAACCTGGCAAGCTTCATATCTGGTGGTGGGTGTATCGACCAGATTTTCACTTTTCGTCAGGTCCTGGAAAACAAGCACGCTTACTGACACCCGACAATGGCTGTATTTCTTGACTTGAAGGTGACATTCGACCCGTCGATCGCGAAGTCTTACGACAATGTATCTGATTGGAGGGGTACTGAGTAAGTACATCACCTTATTGAAGGCTCTTTACTCAAACACCTGTTGGGGGTGGGTGTTAGAACTTATGATGACATATCGGCTAAGTTGTGGTGTGCGTCAGTGATGCCCCACTCTCTCCATTCCTATTCAATTTTATCACAGATGTTCTTATGGTGGTGTCTGTCTCGTCATCTAACCACACATGGATTGACTTGATGGCAGTAGAATTTTCGGTAGACCTAGAATACGCAGACCGCATAGTCAGTCCTGTTAGGTGAATACGCTAACAAGATGCAGAGTCTTCTGGAGACTTTGAGTGGGAATTTGAGAGTGTTTAAGATGTTTTTCTCGCCAAACAAATGCAAATTATTGCATACGCCTTTTCCTGGTGTCACCAAGTGAGTAACCCAAAAGCAGACGAAGTTTTAGGAAGGAGAGGTAAGACAGTTGGTGCGGTTGTGAACCTTTTTCGACTGAGACGTGTGTCACATATGCCTAACCACATCTGCCTCGCCACATAATGTTGGCCGAAGTAGGTTCAGGCTAGAAAAAGGCTCGGCACCGCCAGACTAAAACATGGCATCAGTGCATGAAGTTCTTGACTGTTGGTCTGAGCCATGTAGGACGATGCAGACTAGGCGTTTGGGGTCGGCTGGACAAGAGAAACCAGTGGTTAGAGATTGTAGGTGATATGACTGAGAACCAATGTCACTGGTGCAGATGTATACACACATTATCGTCATCTTAACGGCTATACTTAATCTCATCATCTCATTCTTCCTTCGTCTCTCGTACTACTCCTACTTCCTTTGACCGATTTTTCTTTCCTTCATTTTCCATTTGACTGTCTTATTACTTGATGTCCTGATATGAGCTGTGACAACTTTGACCGTTACGCAGTGATGCCTTCTCCTTTGTTGATCTTGATAATGATAAGTATAGTTTGTTTTGTATTTCACAGTTGATATTCTCTACGAGTTTTCTGACTTAATACTGGGTACAATTCAAAATTGACTGTCGGTGTTCATGATAAATTACACATTAGGCTGGAAGTCTTGTCGACGTGACACACAGAATATCTTGAGAATATTTGTAGCTTAGTAGGATAGTTTTGGTATTGTGTTCTCTGAGCTGGATTGTTTAATCCTGGAGCTTTCGTTATCATTCTAGGCAACATCAGAAAGAGAACACAACACCAATAAACAGGATATTTTTAGGCTTTCATTTATAACTGTTCTTGGTTTTCCGAATACTCGATTCGCACTCGTTGATAGACATTTGGTATCACTTTAACTTCGTGAATGATGCTTGACAAATGTGACTCATTAATCAGCTGATAATTTATTGCAACAGGATGTATTTCTTCATAAGTTATGTGTCATGACAGTGAACGCTATCAAAATAGTTGCTGTAAATTAATAGATAAACGATGCTGCTATTTAACTTATTGTTTTTCGACTCTTCCTCTATGTAATTCGTACATTGCTTTAGTTATAGATGAATATTTAGAATTGTTGTAATCATTAAATCACCAGACACTATATGTTTTGTTTTATTTCCAGTCCGTATTTGCACATGACTTCAGTGCATGAACAAGAATAAGAGTGCAATGAATGAAAGCTTCGGAAACCAACCTTCATTTGTTTCGTGTTATTGTTCACCTCTTAACCGCTGCCCACATTCCAGTTCTGTCTGTGTATCTTCAACAGGATGTTTCCATTCGCTCAATTTAGATTTGTCGTTGACATTAGTTAATGACGAGTCGTATGGTTGTTTTGCAAATCACACTAATCAAGTGGATTTACTCTGTCGGAATTCGAAAGTTGGTAGACAACTGTTATATTGTTGCTCTGCAAACGATGGAGACTTTTGCAACCGAAATTCTAGTTTACTCGGATTAATCGAACCTACTTATCTAGATTCGAATGGTCTCACTTGGAAAAACATTTTAACGGCAGTTTTGCTCCCTATCTTTGCACTATTCTGTGGTCTTGTGGCTATTTTGTTGCTATGGGAATGTTTTTTGAAGAGGAGAATCATGAAATACGATCGCTACACCAACGAACTCGGCTTTAAACGTGCTAGCTTCATCACAGACAACCCAAACTACTCAGCAAAATCCAATGAGCAGCATTTTTATGATCCAAAGTTATCACTGAGTGGTGGAGGCACTAAGGATAAGAAGCCAAAATCTAACAATATGATTAATTCTAAGCCTTCTTGTGAGCTTCTTAGTTGTACCAGTGGGAGTGGGAGTGGTCTTCCATTCCTTGTTCAGCGAACCGTGGCACGTCATATCAGATTGGCTGTTTGCATCGGAAAGGGGCGGTTTGGTGAAGTTTGGAAGGCTACGTGTCAAGGTGAAACGGTTGCTGTCAAAATATTTTCCAGCCGTGATGAAGCTAGTTGGGCCCGTGAGACAGAAGTCTACAACACTGGGCTGTTACGTCATCCTAATCTGCTGGCATATTATGCAAGTGACATGATATCAAGAGGCGGTTGTACTCAGCTTTGGTTAATCACAGCTTATCACGCCAACGGGTCACTACACGATTTTCTTAGCAACAGATCACTAAGACTTCATGAAGGTCTACGTTTGGCTAGTTCTATAGCGGCAGGTTTGGCTTTTTTGCATACAGAAATAAAAGGACTACATGCCAAGCCAGCCATTGCGCACCGTGATCTCAAATCAAAGAATGTGCTTGTTATGCATGACATGTCAGCGTGCATCGCCGACCTGGGTCTTGCTTTAGTAAATTTACAAAGTATGTCTGTTGGATTAGCGTCGGCTAATTCATCCTCAGTTTTGTACAGTGGTGTTATGTCCAGTAGTGTAACGCAGTCAGACAGGTTGTGCAGCGGCTTCTCAGGCCCTTCTTCATTGGGTCCTCCTCCTGCAGGACCAAGAGTTGGCACCAAACGTTATATGGCACCAGAGTTGCTCATGGCTGTTGATACATCGCACACACCATCAAACTGTGTTGACCATACTCTATGTATATCCAATGAGAATGCAGATAATGCAAACAAGTGCAACTATCTGCCATTTGAAGTTTACCAAGCTGCAGACATTTATGCAATGGCCTTAGTATTTTGGGAATTGGCACGCTGCACTAAAGGAGCAGCATCTGAATTTGTTGAAGGATACCAGGTTTGTACACTAACGTTAGTTGACTAGTTTCATCTTTTACCATCTAAAAAGGTATTTTACTATTCTGACATTATACACAAATAAGTTGTTTACAACAATAAAATAGTGTTTTTATAGCATTTTACGCAAGTCGTAGCTTCATGCGATGCGTGAGTATTATACAGACAACAGTGTTAAGGACATTGCATCGTTTTTATCTAGGAAATTTGAATGTGGTTTTGTTATGCCAAAAACGTTTCAGCTGAACATCCGGATCCAATGATTAAAACACTTAAGCCCGAAGTTTGGCAATTTGCTCCATTTGTACCTAGTAGCTTGATACAGAAAGACCGAAAGAACCAAATAATGATGATATTAATGCATTAGGGATCAAACACCACTTCAACTAGCAGTTACAAATGGTTATTCTTCAGTTTGAAAGTCAATAACTTTTGACACTATGAATTAATGTAAAGATGCATTCTGTTAAACAATTTTTTGATATATATTCAACAACTTGGGTAAATTCATTAAAAAGTATGACATCTATTGCATTTTCCCTGACACTTATAAACAATGATATAATAATGACAGGAAACTAAGTTTCGTGTTTGCCGAGAATGTTAAGTTGATTGGATAATTTAATAGTCGTGATTTTAGACAGTGTAAGTGTATATTCGTGTCAGGAGCAGTCGTAATAATAATTTGCCCTATTAGTTTGACAGATTTGATATCCCATATCAGGTTTTATGCTGTTGGTGTGTCATATCCTGAGCTTCAGTATTCTGTGCAGCTATGTATGTGGCTCAGTAAAAGCGTTCCACGACAATAACGAGTTCATCTAAAATCTCCAGAGCAGTTGTCTACTACACCTGTACCGTTGTTGTAGTTCCCTGTAATTACCATGTATCTATTTAGCAGGTTTATTTAATAGGTAAAAGTTGTTTAGGCTTTAGAAGTACAAGGCACTGCATATTGATGATTTAAGTAAGGCAGGGGTATTGCTCCGAAAATCACTTGTTTCTGGCCAACACCAACTTCAGGTATAAGGAGAAACACTTTCATATGGCGTCCGCCGACATCAAACTAATGATGAACACAGATAGATCACATCGCTGTAAGCCAACATTGGAGAGGATCGGTGGAAGATAGATGCTCTTTCTGGAGTGCCTGCTTAGAATCCTATCGCGCTAGTACTAGCTCGTTAATGTCTGCGTCTTGCTGGTCGACGAAACATGAGAAAGTGAAGCCCATCTGTGCTCGATTGGTAGATGAGGACACCGAGTACGCACATAGGGTAGAGATAGCTAAGCATTTATCTGAACGTGACAGCAATGGTCATTCTACAGAAACCTGGCGTGATATTGAGTCCGTTGTAGAAACAGCAGTAAAGACAATTGATAACCTACACCCAAAAGTAGACAGACGACATTGGATTTATGTGACATCATCCGCGCTGATTTTTGCAGGAAGACTGATTTCAGAGGACTCTGAACATGAAGAGCCCAAGCAACTTAAACATAAGTTGACCAAGAGTCTTTGTATTGATCGCAAGCAGTGGTGGGTAGCAAACGTGAGAGAGATGGAGAAGGCATCAACAATGAGTAACACCCAGGAACTATTTAGGCTTATTAGGGATACCGGCAAGAAGGCAATAGTTCGTATAAGCATCACTGAAAAGGATAAGGAACTGATAACCTCTCAGTACAGGAGGCTAGAACACCTTGAAGCCCATTTTAACTGAGCCTTAGTAACGCTGCAGTTGCCCAACATCCAGCCTGAACCTGAGTGGGACGTAGATGTCGGTCCTTCAACTCTTCTCAAAGTCGAGGAAGCTGTACCGAGTCCAAAATGGTGCAAAGCAGCAGGACCTGACAGTTTGTCTCCTGAAATTTTCAAGGATGGAAGTAGGAGATTCTTGATAAGAGTGACGGATGTTCTAGGTAGTATGTAGGAAACAGAGGTAGTGACGTAAGGCTGGCTTACTTCATTGATCATCCCAGTTCATAAGAAGGAAGAGAAATCTTTTTGTGACAACCGTAGCGGAATTAGTTTGACTAATATTCTTTTAAGATCCTAGGGTCCATAGTTATCCTATAACTTACTGGAGCTCAAGAAAAATAGGCAGGTTTCAGACCTAAACGAGAGTGCGTCGATCACATTTTTACCCTACAGCAGGTTCTAGAACATAGCCATACCTACCGGTGATCGACACTTGCCATATTTGTTGACTTGAAGGCGACATTTCACTATATCGACCGTGAGTTGTTGTGGCAGCGTCTGACTGTGAAGGTAGTACCGAGCTAGTATATAACGCTAATCAAAGCTCTTTACCCGAACTCACGTAGCCTTGACAGAGCTTATGAGTTGTCATCAGAAGTGATGAGGTGTTCGCCAGGAATGTCCACTGTCGTAGACATACTTATGAATGTCTGTAGGTTCATCTGGTTTCACAAGGATTGATCTACTCCCTGAAGGTCATCTCGCTGACTTGGAGTATACACACGATTTTTTCCTACTGGGTGGTGATGCCGACAAAATGCGGGGTCTTCCGAACGCGTTGAGCATGCATTTCACTGGCAGCCGTAAGATGATGCTCAGGACTGGTGTGAAACAACTCTCAGTTCGATCATAGGTAGTGAATTGGTGGATCCCTTCACTTACTTGGGGAATCGCATCAGCATAAACGAGCTGGTTGCTAACAAAATCTCAGCTCGGATACAGAAGACCTATTTGGCATTTGCCGACCAGCAAGATCTGTGGCGCCTTTTGGCGAGGTATCTGATTATCTATCAGAGGATGAATATACTGCGCTGTTGTCAAACATGACCGTTGAAAGGGGAAGACACAAAACGATCACAGTTATCTTCATAGCTTTGCTCATGTTTAGTGGGATAGTCATGTGAGCAATGTTGAGATCAAGTGAAGGGTACCAGTGCAAATCGATCGATGAGCTTGTTAACCTTAATCATTTGAGACGGCCTGGACATTTGTTGCGCCAAAAGTGTTAAGTCTAAAATAGAGAGGAAGAGAGATTACCATTTGAATCTATGACGCAGCACTTCTGTCCCATGCATATTGATTGAGAAACTATTTGAGTTCTTAACAATTATAAATACGACTGTACAAAATTGTTTTTGGTGTAGACATTTTATCCTTGAATTAGCAGACCGACATACATCCTCGTTTAATTGAATATAAATACTGTGGGGGAGTTTTTATGCTGTTTATAGTGGTGCATTCATAGTAAAATACTTTGAGGAAAAGTTACTTGAGTCGGGTCAGCGTTCCTCCAACCTCATAATTAAGCCAGTGATCGTGGCTATGTTCTGCATTAAAAAGAAATATCACTAGAGTAAGCGACTTGAGCTATCCGCTTTAGTCTGGATAACAAAGTAGTCCCATCAGCGCTCACGCAATAAATAAGTGTGGTTTGACCTAGTACATAGAAAATGTCCTGGATTGAGCTTGATTATTTATTATGATCACTGAATGTATCTGGTTGTTTTTATCGTCACTTGTCCCTCAGTTATCTCACTAGTGTTCAAACCTATATGCTGTATTTTAAACGGGATCATTTGATTAACCGAGAATGTTAACAACTTACAGTATTTGACCTATGAGACAGAGGATTGTTTCAGCTGTCTGTTCTGCTCATTATAAGTGTTGTAAACGAGAACTTTAAATTTTGTTTGCAGATACCATTTTACGACATGGTCCCATCTGATCCGACCTTCTCACAGATGAGGAATATTGTTTGTGGAGACAGTGCGACGGTACATGGGACAGTTGAACAGTTGGATCAAGTTAACGAAGCTACCACAAAGATAAAAAGTAGGCTTTCCAAGACAAGCGCAGATTACGATGAAGCGCAGTGTAGACCTCGCATTTATCAGCGTTGGTTAGATGATGCTTATTTATGTCGTTACACACAAGTCATACAAGAATGCTGGCACGACGATTGGTCTGTACGTCTTTCTGCTCTTCGTGTTCGGAAACGTTTAGAACAGATTGAAGTTGCGGTGAAGCAATCATTGTTTAAGAAGAACAACGAGGATCACATTCCTTCCAATTTAAATGAGTTATCAGTTCTCTTGACTGGTGACACTGAAGTGCTCTCTTTATGCTATCCCTTCTATCCACAGTGACTTTGAATTCTGCCTTTATGACGTGCATTTATTTCTGTCTCTTATGACTTTCTAAATATTGTCATTTTATAACTAATTCTTTAATCATGTAATTTTTGCGAGCAATATGCTGTTTTTTTAGTTGATTTTGCGAATTTCGTTGTGTATTTGTATATGCAGAATTCATCCCAGTTGCGAACTTAGTTTCCCACAAGTTCCTTTTGGTTGGGTTTATGCGCATATGGGTACTTAGACCTGTTGACAAGAAAGTTTGCCATTGAATTTTCTTCCGTAAATATCCTAGCATTAGATAACTGAGGTGATATCTTCCACAAGCTGGCAATATTCATTTCGTTTTACTGAGCTGTCATTACTTCTTTCATTTGGTTAGTTGGACTGGTTATAAGAAATTTTTGTGATCTCAACAACCAACACTGGGTGTGTTCATATAATCCGCATTTGACTATCGAATCTATATGGAGTTTTGACTGTGCTTAATTCAAAAGAATCATAGCAAGCAGGATAATACGGGTGTTCGATGTGAGTAAATGAATTCTTTTGCTCTGGTTGGGATACTTTTAGAAATCAGCCATAATGTAAGGGGATCTATAAAACAAGTTATTTACGATTGAAAGCGACTGGAGGAAATTAAGAGCTGACTAAGTATCAATATCCAGCTAATTACCAAATGGGCTGAAAGCTGTAAATATAGGCAGTAGGAGCTAAGTCGTTCCATACAGTTATCTCCAGTATGTTCTCGTATAACAGTAGAATTCACTGCTTCTCTAAAAATGTGCTATTAAAGCTTTGGATTCACAAACCATATCAGATAGCCTTTTTGATTACTTTACATGTGATGACGATGTTTCCATACAAGTGAGGGGATGAAAAATTGCACAGCGTTTTTCGCGAACGCAGATATGTAGGGTTCACCCTTAAGTAGTGGAGAAATGCTGATTTATTACCAGCAATGGACCTGGACGTTACGACCACTGAGCAATAAATGTGAACACCTATACTCTTGATGATGAGAATGCCTCTACTGGAATGTCTTCACTGCCTTGTGGATTAGACCGTAACTCAGAGGTCCAAACAAAAGGTCTCGGATGCCTGAATGGAACCTCATTGCATACACATGCAACACGACACTGCGTCATATTTCAGATCGCATGTCTGACTACGTAACCGTTAAACTACTTCTAAGATTCCTGACAGGCTTGTTCATCTGGTTATCATTGCATTTGAATACGGTTTGCGCTGTTTCATTTTTACCGATTCTTACTCGGCTACTTCACCTTGAATTCAAATTTATCGTCTGTTTGTTATTCTGAGCTAATCAGCAGCCGCTTTGTCCAAGATCCATACAAAAACCCGACTAAAATACTGTAAGCGTTTTCTATCTGTCAAATCAAATACACGTTCCATATTTGCTAGTCAGAAGATCTTGTAGCACTATGGCCTCAATGGTATTACTTACTCTTATTTAGCAAGAAGACAACACTTCACTGAGCATATGAGAGTATCAGATGTCCCATTGCTCTCACTGTGGATAACAGAATCCATACATAGACCTGGTGGACACTCTTTCAGTAGGTTATGAGCCAAACCTATCGTACGAAGGCCAGCTATACTACCTGGCTGCTCAAATATTGGTAGGTGGGGCTGGGTTCGAACCAGCCACCCATTGGTATTTGCCGAATTGCGCCCTCTGTGGTGCTGACGAGATATTCGACTATGTCGAATGACGAGTATACTGCGCTACAGTTCATTCTCTCCTGCAACACAGCTGTGAAACATGGTCATGGAAAGTGGAAGACACGAAACGACTACAAGTTTTTGATCACAGGTATCTTCATAGCTTTGCTCATGTTTAGTGGGATAGTCATGTGAGCAATGTTGAGATCAGATGAAGGGTACTAGTGCAAATCGATCGATGAGCTTGTTAACCTTAGTCAGTTGAGACGGCCTGGATGTGTTGTGCATGTTGATCCACCGCCTCCTGTGACTTGCCATGATGCTAGGGGAATCTGGATTAGGTTGGAAGAGGGTTCATGGTGGCAAGACCAAGACGCGGTACCAGTCGGTGAAGTCTCTTACTGTTGGTGTGAACTGTATTGGGAGGTATAGACTGCCTGGTCGGGGTTGTCGAGACGATGGGAATCAGAGGTTGAGGATTCTCCAAGATATGCCTTAAAATTGGTCACAGTGGCGCATGTGTATTCACTCCTAGACGTATTCTAAAGTCTGAATATTCCTACCAACTTTTATCTACGAATTGTTTGTTATCTAACACACTTTTATCTACTTTGATATCACTCTTATTGTTAACCTATTTTTGGATACTACTGTGAAGTGTGGCATCTTGAACCCATGCACTTGTGTGCGAGGTTCTAGGTTGGTTTTCTGTCTGTCCGTCACCCTTTGTTTGGAACTCAGGTGAGCTACAGCTCTACATTGCTGATAACACTCAGATGAACTATGTTGAAGTTCAGTTATCTAGGTTCAAATTTGGGCCTTTCTTACTACTCAGATGCATCAGCATGAAAACTTAGACAGAAGGCTGTCAGTCCAAATTTCTACACTTAACAGAATGTAAAGAATAGACGCCTAGAGAAAGAATAACATTAGAACAGTACAGAGTGCGAGAAGGAAGAGCATGGTTAAATCAAGGCTAAATAAACCACCAAGCTTTCAAAGATGCCAAAAGAATGTGTACATCTTGGTTGTATTATGCTCTCTGGGCTGAGTTGTTTCTAGACATCATCAGAACTAACTTCAGTATGAAGTGAGCTGTCAATATCTTACCGTGAGTGATTTAGTAGCTTGCCCTGACGAAGTAGTCTATGATTGGTTGTTGTGTAATTGACTGTATACACTTTCCTGTTGGCATTTCTCTGACCTGTGTACATCTGCATCACTGCTCAATTACAAGCCATATTGACCAGAATCTATCCACTGGTTTCCATCGGTTCGATAGCCTTGATAAAAAAGCCTACATTCTCTCCACAGCTTTGACAGGCAGTCGCAGACATAAACGAATTCCGTCAAATCTGGATATGATAATCCAATACATTCTCCCAGCCCGACCGATGGCTGCTACCTTGACGTGGTGGTCGGGCTTGTATGTCACAATGACCCAACGAGCTATGCTGGTGGAACGCTTGTTCCCTCGAGGTCCTACCATACCAGAAAGGTCTGTTGGATAGTGGTTAGACGAAAAGCAGTTACCGTTATAGTGTAAATTGCTACACTATGATGGGGGTCTGAGGGCGAAGTCGTACTGCTGCTAGCTGGATGGGGTGTGACAGCAGTAAGGTGTTTCCCTTGGATGACCAGCAGTGCCATGCTGATGCTGCCTTCTCAGTGGAAGGGGGGGTTAGAAAAGGTCGGCCCCAAAAATAACACTCCACCACGCCCCACGGTCTGCCGGGCCGGCGGTGTTGGTTCACTTGTCGTTTCCTTTCGACCATCCGGCCCCAAAAATACAAAAGTTCAAAATAATCATACTCAAAAGGCTGGGTGTGACAGGCCTCAAGCAGATGTCCGATGGGCTCTGCGGTCACACAAATCTCTTTCAGGTACCTTAAGAAGAAATAGCCTTCCACGGTGTGGGCAGCCGGGAAGTGTCAACCGCCCTCACAACTCTGTCAGCACCCAAGTTTCTTCTGACTGCTATCCTCCTCCTCCATCATTACCTTCTAATCTTCCTTCACGTCTCTTAATTAATGATGCTGCATCATCTTCAATTTCTCCTACCTCTGCAGCCTTCGACAACGATCTGAGTCCACAGAACAGCATCACTGGTCTCCTTAAACCACGCTCCAAATTACATATTGGAGCCTTCAATGTCCGCACCCTCCGTCAAATTGGCCAACAGGCTTCGTTAGCAAAGACTCTAGCAACTCGGGCATGGATGTGTGCTGTGTTTGTGAGACACGCATACAGGACCCAAGTGTGGTTATTCACCTGACCTCTCCTGACCAATCTGGTGAATCTGCAAAATTCACCCTTCGAGTTTCTGGAGATTCGATAGCTAGGTGTAGGTATAGCATTAAGCACCAGGGCAGAAAACTCACTACTAGACTGGATCCCAGTTGATAGTCGCCTCTGCGCTATGAGGCTGAACGGCACAGTGAGAACTAAAAGGAATAGTGAGACTCGCCGTTGTCTCTTTGTAATCTCTGCTTACGCACCCACTGACTGCAGTCGGATGAAGTGAAGGACGAGTTCTACCATAAACTGTCTAACCTCCTCTCGAAAGCCAAACGTTCGGACGTAGTGGTTGTTGCAGGTGACCTCAACGCACAGGTGGGTAGACTGAGTGAGGCAGAAAGGCACTTAGGTGGCACTTTCGGAATCCCAGCTGAACGTACAGATAACGGTGATCGCCTATTACAACTATGCTCAGATAACCGCCTATTTTTAGCCAGCACAAATTTCAGACATAAAGAAAGGCACTGTCTGACCTGGCGTCCACCGAGCTCGACTCAGCGATGGACACAGATAGACCACATTGCTATTAGTCATCGCTGGAGAGGATCGGTGGAAGACTGCCGCTCCTTCTGGAGTACGTGTTTGGACAGCGATCATGCGTTGGTCCGAGCACGTATATGCCTGCGTCTCAATGGACGTAGAAAAAATTTGGCAACAAAACCACTACGAGTTCTGCTGGACAACGAAAACACCAAAGCCGTGTTCAGTGAGAAGTTGGCTAGGCAGTTATCGGAACAAAAGACTGTCACTCATCCAGAAGAAGCTTGGTGCCATCTTCAGTCTACTGTAAAAGCAGCACTGAAGACTGTAGCCGACTCCAAAATAATGGCTAAAAAGAGCCAGTGGATATCAGCAGCTTCTTCCAAACTAATGGATGCACGTGAATGCATCCCTGCAGGCTCTGAGTACAATGAAGAGCGAGCGCAACTTAAAAATAAACTGACGAAAAGTCTGCGCAACGATCGTGAACAGTGGTGGGCAGCAAAGGCTAAAGAGATGGAAAAGGCAGCGGCGATCGGTAACAGTAGACAGTTATTTAGACTTATTAAGGAGACTGGGGGGAAATGGTCAACAACAGTTAGTGAGGCTATAGCGGAGAAGGACGGATCTGCGATTCACTCGCAGGGAAGACGACTGGAACGATGGGCAGAACACTTTGAGGAACAGTTTAACTGGCCTCCAGCCACCATTGCGTTGCCCGCTATCCAGTCGGACCCTGAATGGGACATAGAGACAGGTCCCCCAACACTAGAAGATGATGAGAAAGCGGTAGGTAGCCTGAAACGAGGAAGGGCAGCAGGACCAGACGGACTACCTGCTGAGGTATACAAGAATGGTGGTAGAGTGCTCTTAGTCAGGTTAACGGAAGTGTTAGCCAGTATATGGGAATCAAATACGATCCCCTCCGACTGGTCTAAGTCACTCATCA